GGCGGCGCCTGGGGCTGCTGTCCGGCCGCCGCCGCGGCGGTCTTCTGCTGCAAGGCGGCCTGCTGAGTCAGCAGCTGTTGTTGGTGCACGCTCGCGGCCAGCTGCGGCGGCTGCTGCTGGTAGAAGTTCTGTGTCAGCGGCGGCTGGGAGCTGCCTTGCGACACCACCGGGAACTGGGCGAGGGCCGGCTGCTGGGCGGCTGGGTGTGCTGCCTGAAACTGAGCGTGAGAAGCGGCAAAAGGGAGGAGGGGAAGAAAGCCTGTCTCGGAACAGATTTCCACAAAAGACCAAGGTCTCAGGAATAACCAAGCCCAGTCTGAAGCCAAAGGCAAGGGCGGGCAGAAGTCCCGTGGCCTGGCCTCACAACTCCCGAGGGGACCCTCAGGGCATGGACGTAAACCTGACAGCACCTGACAGGGCCAGGCTGCCTCCTGGCCCCCAGCCCGGCTTCGGGTGGGTTTCTATGGCAAGCCTGCGGGCTTCCATTCCACTGGGCACCTTGTGGTTCCCCATGCTGGAGTGTAGCAGAAGCTAATAAATGATCTCCCAATCACAGAAGTAATCCCTCTTGTAAAGGGATTTGGCAGCAGCCAAGATTAAAATGCTTTGCTCCATGAACAGGATGAAGCAGTGACACTGAAAATCACCTAAGTGCTAAGCCAGCTATAAAGAGTCCGTTCAGGCCCTTCTGAAAATTATTTCTCTGTAGCTCCATCTTATTAACAGTCCCACCTTTAAACATTCAAAATGTTCTGTATACCACACTTACTGATATTTTATCTTGTATTGGTAACCGATTCTTTCAAGTTCTCAATATTCTCTTATAAACTGCCTACGGATAGGGATACTTTTTATCCGTCTGTCTACTCCCCACTGCCAAGGACTATGTGACACACACACACACACACACACACACACACACACACACACAGGTCAAACAAGGGCCTACTGATGAACAAAAGTCAAGGTCTTGTCTTTGAATATCCCAAACACTGTTACTTAGTTGTAGAGTTAACTGAGAGGCCACTGTCGGCCTCCTGGGGCAAAGTTAAAGGGTTAGCAAAGAAGCAGATGTCAATAAATAGCTGCCTATTTAGAACTGCAAAATGCTGGAAATGACCAAATGTTTATCAACAGGGACACTAATTGAATAAGCCATGCTATGTATCCTTAAAAGAGAATACTCTCAAGTTGTAAACAGGAATGAGGGCTCCCTCTATTATTACAGGATGGACGGGGCAGAATTCTGCAGATTTAACTTTGAAACTCTGTAAATGTTTTATATTTTCATACAACAAAATTAACCCAAAATTTGGCAATAACTATAAATCAAAAGCAAAATGAAACAAATAAACCTGTGTATCAAATTGATAGCCAAACTCTCCAGAAAATAATGAGCAAAACATTCTAAGAATGAAAAAGGCAAAGAAATCTTAACCTGTTTCCAGTACTCGTGTTGGCACTATTGTCTTGAAATTATAAAGCAATTAAGTGATTATGTTAATGTTGTTAGGAATCAGGATTTTCAGATTAGAAAAATACAAATATAAAATCCAAGGAGTTAAGCAAAAATCCTATAATTACAATTCTGAATTATGAATATAAATTTAGATTCGTGGTGTATATTAACAAAAGAAACAAAATATCTTTCGCAAGTATCCACTGAAAAGGCTTAAAAACAAATAACTGATCCATTAGCAAATGAGTATCTTTAGCACCAAACTGTGGTCTCTAAATACTATTTTTAAAAGGAAATGGAGCTCCTTCAGAGAAATGGCTGTTTCCAGGTCAAGGGCAGAGTAAGCCCAGAGCGGTCTGTTACAATAAATAGCAAGGAGGGACACCTGGGTGGCTCAGTCGGTTAAGCGGCTGCCTTCACCCCAGGTCATGATCCCAGGGTCCTGGGAACGAGTCCCACATCGGGCTCCTTGCTCAGCAGGGAGCCTGCTTCTCCCTCCCTCTCCCTCTGCTTGTGCTCTCTCTGTCAAATAAATAAAATCTTTAAAAATAAATAAATAAATAAATAGCAAGGAAACCATAAAGATGGCTGGGTCACCACCAAAAGACCCAGGAGCCAGTCTGAAGAGAATTCCACTGGCCAAAGCTGAGGCAATTTAAGCATCAAAATAAAAATTTTAAAAAGGCAATGTCTGGAAACATTACAAATACGTTTAAATCCCTGAATTCACGATGATACTAAAACAAACAAATCAAAAACCTCTGTTCACCTTTAGATGACACTAAGAACAAACCCATTCTGAAAACTGGTAAACACAGGTGAAGAATCAAGCGCTTTTTCTGCCTTTTCTATATAAACAGTACCTCAGGGTCATCAAATAGTTGAGAAAAATTCTTCACAGAAAAATTCCAGCCCCTAAGTGAAGAGGGAATGCTAGAATATCACCATGTTGACATCCCTAATGAGTGAAGGGACTTAGGAAATGATCAGCAGTTGCTGCTAAACTGATCAGGGACACTGAATGAATGGATCAGACAGACAACACCAAACTCACGGACTGATCTTCATATTGATAAAAGATAGGACAACCAGACTTTATACGCCTCCTGAAGTGATACAACCAGAAGAACAAAGAACTATTCTAACTGAATCGAATTTTGACCAAGCCTCAAAAAACTACCAGTTTACATAGGGGATGGAAGAACATATTAAATGACTGCAGGGATGCAATCAGCCAAATCCAGAAGGTGGAAAATTCTACAGGACAAATGACCCAGTTTCTTCAAAAAATTAAATGCCAAAGGGGAAAGAAAGAGGGAGAGGGCACTATGAATAAAAGGGGACTTAAAAGAGTACGTCAATCATTATAAAATGAGTATGTTCAGAGTAAAAAATGTAGAAAAAATATGAATAGATAATGGAGGAGGAAAGATTCACAACTAAATATAACATGTGGGCCTTGTTTGGAACCTGATTCGAACAAGCCAACTGAAATTATGAGACATCAGGAAGAGTTAAACATTACTGGATATATTTTTTTAAGATTTTTTATTTTTTATTTGACAGAGAGAGAGAGCACAAGCAGGGGGAGTGGCAGGCAGAGGGAGAGGGAGAAGCAGACTCCCCGCTGAGCAGGGAGCCCGATGGGGGGGATCCCAGGACCCCGGGATCATGACCTGAGCGGAAGGCAGACCTTAACTGTCTGAGCCACCTAGGCGCCCCTGGATATTTTATAATAAGAAGAAATTATTATTTTTAGTATGGTAATGGTGCAATTGTGTTAGGAAAAAAAAGAGAGAGAGAAAGAAGAGAAAAAGCGTCCCTAAAAATAGTTCCCTTGCTGAGGTTCCTCCATCAGGTGAAGAATTCCCCATGGCCCAGGAAAGGGGTGTGAGTGGCCCAGTGATGCATCCACTGCGCAATGCTTCCCAGTATGCAGCGCTGGGAGAAGCAATGAGGCGATGTGGAGTGGCTCCCTGTCTCCCAAGGGCTCCCCGAGGAAGATGCCTGTACCTACTGGGCCTTTCCGCAGCACCGCCTCAGATACGGCAAGCAAGGGTCAGACTGAACACTTTACCTGCTGGGCCTGGGCCTGCTGCTGCTGCTGCTGGTAAAACGTGCCCGCGGGCTGCTGGGCAGGTGGCGGCTGCTGCTGAGGCGGTTGCTGCGGCGGCGGCGGCGGCGGCGGCTGCTGGAGGAAGAGTTGCGGCTGGTGCTGGGGCGTGGCCTGGGCTGCAGTGGGCAGAGCCTGGACGGCGGTGGGCGGCGTCTGCTGTGGGGTGGGTGGAGCCTGGGGCTGCTTGGGCTGAGACTGGGGTAGAGGCTGGCTGGGTTGGGGCTGGGTTTTTGGCTGGGGAACACTGGCTAAAAGACCAGGCTGATTGCTGGATCCTGTAATGAGAATAAACTCCATATAAGGGCTCAAAACTCTTCCAGACGAAAATGGCTTGCTTTCTCTTGCCAAGGAAATAAAGGGGGGGTGATAAAAGGACAGATAATCCCAAGAGCCATGTGCTTCTGTCTTTGCATCTTCTTGCTAAACTATGTGCTTCATGTTTTTCAAATCAAGGTTCAGGAACAAGGTTCAGTGCTTGCCTCCTTCAGAAAGCCCCCCTTTATTCAGCATCCCATTTAGTCAATTATTCCTTTAGTCAGCACCCGAGTATCTACATATTCAACTGGTCTTTGATGCTACTGCATTCAAATACAATCTTTGCACTAATGCTTTACGACAAAAGCATTCTTTGATGTTTTACATATAAGTTACACGACCCCAATCTAGATGCCTGGCTATAAGTAGATGACCACCAAATTCACCAAAAGCAGCTTCCTGGTAGGGGAAGTGATGACTAAATTCAGTTACTTGATCATTTGGGTCCTCTAAACTAAGTCATCTCATTAGAACCGGAATACCAAAACATGGAGTGGTAACGGATAGTTTCAGAAGACAGAGCATTAAAGAAACAATGCCCCTGTGTCAAAAAGAAGAGAATCTTGTTTCTTTAAAGGCCAGAGAAGAATATGAAATAAAAAGGAAGGCATGGGATGAATGGACCAAGCCACAAAATCAGGGCCAAGACTAGAAAAAATAGAGACATCAGGCATCAGTGGTGTTGGAGGCCCCCCGCAGAACCCATTGAGAAGGCTTCCCTTTTGCCAGCCACGTGCCATATAATTTCAATGGGTGCTCACCTCCTGGTCCTCAGGGCAAACCATTTATTCCTTATGTGTCTCGGGATTCCATTCCTGAAGCAAAAGTAGGCTTCCCGAGACTTCTGTTAATGTCCGGGATAACAAAGAGGGTGTACCAAATTTCAAACCATCTGAGTTACTGACCTGCAGCCTGGGGTGGGGGCTGAACCGTGGCTCTCTTCCGAGGTGTCAGGGCTGGCTGGATAGGAAGGATTCCTGGGTTTGGCTGAGTCTGCCCAGCCTTAGGCCTCTGACGGGGTGCAATTGAAGTCTCTGTTGTGGGAATGGGATCTGTCAGTCTAGAAAAGGAAGGGGGGGAAACACAGATTCACATTAACGTGTGGGAGAGTGGGAAAGGGGTAGACAGAGTACTTGATGGATTGGCTTTCCCCTCCACACTCATCCAAACCTTCCAGATCTGCTTAATCGACATTTGTCAAAGGGTATTCCACAGGATGTTATGTATTACTAAATGTTATGAAAAAAGGGTTGGTGGGAAAGAAGTTTTAACATACTAATCAAAATATATCGAGCAGATTTCTTTCCAGCGGAACTTTTCACGTGTGAATGTGCATGGAAAACTTTGAAGAGAGCCCAATACAAAAGGCAATGTTTCTCTAGCTTACCTGACCCTGGGACCATTCCACCTAACACTTCCTAGGATTTCCCAGAATATGCTTTGGGTGATGATGGAAACGAATTTGAAACAGGTGTTTTTCAGATGTAGAGGGAACTCAAACTTGGTCAGAACTAGTTGTCAAGGGGCGCCTGAGTGGCTCAGTCGTTAAGTGTCTGCCTTCGCCTCAGTTTATGATCCCAAGGTCCTGGGATCGAGCCCCGTGTCGGGCTCCCTGCTCCATGGGAAGCCTTCTTCTCCCTCTCCCACTCCCCCTGCTTGTGTTCCCTCTCTCGCTGTGTCTCTCTCTGTGTCTCTGTCAAACAAATAAATAAAATCTTAAAAAAAAAAAAAAAAGAACTAGTTGTCAAAATGGTCTCTCTATAATTAAAAAAAAGCATATAAGTGAGTGACTCCAATAAGGCAACTAGAAGAAATAAGTAAATAATTCAAGATAAAGGATTTGGGGAATATGTTATATGTAAAATATATTCCAATTAAAAAATTTAGCTGGATTTCACCCAGAGTAAAAATCACATTGCCCAGCCTCTCTTATAATCAGGTGTGGCTATGTGTCTAAGTTCTGGCCTTACATGGGAAAGCAGACTGTTAATACGGCAGTTTCCAGAAGCCTTAAGAAATAGCTAGGGTATGCCATTTGTCTCTCTTCTTTGGCTATTCCTTCATCTGTTACTTGGAACAGGAATGCTACCATTTTGGTCTGTGAGGTCATGGCTACAATCGTAGGGAAGGTAGAGTGAGAAGCTTGAAGAAGCCTGGGTGTGGGGCAGAACTGCCAAACCAATCGCTGACTACTTACCTCCAGACTTTGTTTACTTGAAAAAAAACGTCTATCTTATATGAGCCACTGTCATTTTGGACATCACAGCCAAATCTAATCCAAATTAATATAGGAAGGACTGCTGGGTGGTCTATTTGTTCCTTGTGATAGTGTAAAAATCCAGGTGATAACTTCCATTCATTTGGAGCAGTCCAGGCAGCTGGCTGCCATCTAACTCAGAACAGAGTAGTGGTCTTTTGAAAATGCACATTAGGGAGTAAAACTGAAGTTATGGCCAAAATAAACAAGCTTCATAACTATTTCCAAAATATGTCTGGCATGGCCTCCATGAAATGCAAAATAGGAAGCAAAGCAGGCCCCATGTGCCTTCCCCATGACATATCTCCAAGGGATGTCCACTGTGGACCCTGAGGCTTTTCTCTGCAATCCTGCTAGAGGAATGCTTTTGTGTGGGGTAGAGAACTTATAACATAAAAGCTATCATATTTGGAGAGGCTATAACCTGGGGAAGGAAGGTGGGAAGGAAAACAGGACAAATGTTGGAGAAGAAGAGAAAGGTTTAAGAAATATATAGCCAATGGTGAGAAAGTCGAACAGACGTCTATAGAAACCAAATGCTAAGAACCTCCACACTGGATGGATTTCTTTCTCTCTCTCTCTCTCTCTTTTTTTTAAAGATTATTTATTCGAGAGAGAGAGACAGAGAGCAGGAGGAGGGGCAGAGAGAGAGAGTCTCAAGCAGACTCTGCACTGAGGATGGAGCCCAACACAGGGCTCGATCCCTGACCCTCAGATCATGACCTGAGCCAAAATCAAGAGTTGGATGCTCCACAAACTGAGCCACCCAGGAGCCCTTGGATGGATCTCTCTTAAGGGTAACATCTTAGAGATAAAGGGATTTGGAGTCAAAGAAAACTATATTTGAGCCTGGTTCCTCACTAACTGTGTGATAATAGGTATGTCATTTTATCTCTTCTTGCTTTGGGTCATTTCTGTATGAAATGGAGAAAATAATGCATCATGAAGCAGATGTGAACATCAAATGCATCAATGACTGTGAAACCATTTTCATAAACTGTAGAGTGCTCAAAATGTTAGTTTGTATGGCCCTCAATATGCTGTGAAAAAATACAGACCTTGAAGCCAGGAGGTCTGGCTCTAAGTTGTCGCATCTATGTGCTTGTGGGCAAATCACTTAATGCACAGAATAGAGTATGGATGCTGGAATTCGGGTTTTTTTACTAACCACATATTGATTGATTACCTTGGGCCACTTACAACTCTGAGTCTGTTTCCTCATCTGTAAAATGAGAACAACAACAATGGCTCATAGATTTATTTCAAGAAAAAGAAAGTCATCTTATTTACAGAAAGAACCTCGTATGGTATCTGGTATACATGATGCCTCAACGAAGAGTGGTTACTTTAAAAACAGAGTTAGAAAGAGAAACTTACCTCTCGGGATTGGGGAGCAAATATGGTAACGCAAATGAAATCACTGTAAATTATAAACAGGACACCTTAGGCCCAAATCTCTTGGCTGTAAGGTCTGTATTCTTGCAGCATTATGGATCCATACAAACCAACAGCGTGGGCACTCTACAGTTTATAGAACAGTTTCACAGTCACCGATGTTCACAACTGCCTTATGATACAGGTATGATTTTCTTCATTTGACACAACACAGCACCACTTGGAATGGTACCAGTTATTGTCATTGTTATAAATGCGGGGGCTTTGTGGGAATGGATCCTTGCTTAGCTTCAGTACCTACTATATTTGGGTCTAGAGCAATATGGGGATAAACCCAAATACTCAGCTAATGAACTCAGCCCCAAAAGCAATTTCCAGAGGTGAGCATGGCAGACTTAGGTAAGAAACGGACTACAAAGTAACACCATGGATATAGTTTGCTAAGTCTGTGAAAAACAAAAGTCTCCTTTAACTTTTGGAGCCGCATCAGCATTTACATTTATTTCAGAAACATTTAAGAATGTTTAAAAATGGGGCGCCTGGGTGGCTCAGTTGGTTAAGCGACTGCCTTCGGCTCAGGTCATGATCCTGGAGTCCCGGGATCGAGTCCTGCATCGGGCTCCCTGCTC